TAAAATACATGCTTCTAATATTTATTTATTTATTAGAGATAATTATTATAAAAAAAAATCAAAGATTGAATTGTGTAACAAAATAAATTGAGTTTTAATTTCTATAAATTTAAATTATAATTTTTTAATTTGTTTTCAATTTAAATCATTCAACTACTTTTCTTTGATAAATTTGACCTAAAAAAAAGTATTTTAATCATTAAATTCAATGTAAATATACATAAAATGTCTAAAATTTCATTTTTTTATTGAGTTTAATGACTAAAATACCTATTTTCTATTGATTTACTTAAAATAAATAAATAAATGGTTTAGTTTGAAAATAAATTAAAAGTTTAAGATTTAAATTGACAAAATTAAAAAATTCATAATTTACTTTATTACAAAGCTCAAATCCTGAGATTTGTTTTTTGTAATTTTTTTCTATTTTTTATAATTTGGTGCTCAAGTTAAATTGTGCGTATTAATGCTAGAGTCATGAAGTTGACGATCAGGTTGTGACCCCTTGGGGTAATTACCATTGCGTTTTTGACAATCAATCATATTTAACCGCTTATACTTTAATAAGATTTTTTGTACAAGTGTTAGTATCTATAGAATCATTCATCAACAAATAGTAAAGCTGGGCATGATTTTGTTCAGTTCAATTTTGAAGTAAAACAAGATAAAACCATTATATACGGTTACATACAATTTGAAACTAAGTCGAACCATGAAAATGATATTTGGTTCGGTTTGGAACCATAATTTTTATAAACCTTGTTATAGTTTGCAACAGTAATGCTACATCCACACAATTTTATCCCCCTGAATGAGACTCTTACTGGTAAGAGGTTCAAAAACGAGAAACTCTTACCGGTAAGAGTCTCATTCGGAAAGATTCAGGGGACAAAATTGTGTGGATGAATCATTAATTTAATTTGCAATATGATCATACCATGCTCAAACATCAAATAATATGTCATCCAATAAATATTTAAATGATTCTTTGAACCTAGCTCTACCATTATACAATAGCACACTTCTAAGAAAATAGAAATAAATTATGAATATATATGAGTACCAATAAGATACTCGATTGTGTATGATAAATAACAAATTAGTCCAATTTGATTCGGTTCTAAACTAGAATTATAAAATTATTGACCGAACCGTGTAGTACAATTCATTTATTTTAAGAATCATAACCAAAGTGTGCACTGGAAAAACCAAACCGTTTGGCAAGAAAAAGCCCAGGCTTTTTTGGCTAAAATAGCCACAAAAAACAAAATAGGCTATTTTAGCCACAAAAAACAAAACATCAAATTCAACCCATAATCATTACAATCCTCTCTCACAAAAAAAGTCAAAAAAGCCAAAAAGCCAAAAAGCCCTTCCCAAACCAGGCTAAAATAGCCAAAAAGCCAAAAAGCCAACCCACTTCCCAAACGGAGGCATATGTAATTTGGATTGGATCAAACAAGTTTATAATTTTTTTTTTATTTTGTGAAAAAACTGTTGCCAACGACAGTTGCTAGTGGTTAGAGGTGACCACCGGAGGTCGTCGCCGGTCGCCGACGGTGGCAAAGATGTTCAAAGGTTGGTGGGGTAATGGAAGTACACTAAGGATAGTTTTGTCCAAAAAAAGCTTAGTGTCCTTAAACTAGCAAGCGTATTTTAATTGTCCTTAAATACAAAATCTTTTCTAGGGAGATGAATAAAAAAAAACTCATTATTTAAATTATTTTATTTTACTTCTTTAGTTTATGTAATACTCGTGTAATTATATTGACAAAGTTGAGAAACCAAACTCTGATACTAACTTAAACACACAACGAAACAAAATACTTTTCAAAAACAAGAAATTTAAGATTTTTCTGAAATAGAATTTTAACTAGGTAGGGTTTTCTACTAATTTATAATACATACGTGCATATATTTTATTTTTGTAATACTTTCAGAGATTAAATATGTTTGAATTAAATACTTTAGAGAATTAATAGATTTGTCCCCCCGAATCTCCCTTGAATGAGACTCTTACCGGTAAGAGTTTACAAAACGAGAAACTCTTACCGGTAAGAGTCTCATTCAGAGAGATTCAAAATTGTGTAGATGAATCATTAATTTAGTTTGCAATATGATCATATCATGCTCAAACATCAAATAATATGTCATCCAATAATTATTTAAATGATTCTTTCAACCTAGCTCTATCATTATACAATAGGACACTTCTAAGAAAATATAAATAAATTATGAATATATATGGGTACCAATAAGATACTTGATTGTGTATGATAAATAACAAGAAAAATGTTTGAGGGCCACAATTTTTGTGACTCAAATAGCTCGAAATTGTTAAAACAACGTCGTTTTGGCAATTTTGAAGTTGTTTTGTACTCAAAACGACGTCGTTTTGGCAATTTCGAGCCATTTGAGCCACAAAAATTGTGGCCCTCAACCATTGCTGAAATAACAAGTTAGTCCAATTTGATTCGGTTCTAAACCAGAATTATAATTATAAAATTATTGATTGAACCGTGTAGTATAATTCATTTATTTTAAGAATCATGACCAGAGTGTGCATTGGAAAAACTAAACTAAACTATGTAATTTGGGTTGGATCAAACAAGTTTATAATTTTTTTTTTTATTTTGTGAAAAAATTGTTGCCAACGGCAGTTGCTAGTGGTTGGAGGTGACAACCGGAGGTCGTCGCCGGCGGTGGCAGAGATGTTCAAAGGTTGGCGGGGTAATGGAAGTACACCAAGGGTAAGTTTGTCCAAAAAAAGCTTAGTGTCCTTAAACTAACAAGCATATTTTAATTGTCCTTAAATACAAAATCTTTTCTTGGGAGATGAATAAAAAAAAAACTCATTATTTAAATTATTTTATTCTATTTCTTTAGTATATCTAATACTTGTATAATTATATTGACAAAGTTGAGAAACCAAACTCTAATACTAACTTAAACACACAATGAAACAAAACACTTTTTAAAAACAAAGAAATTTAAGATTTTTCTGAAATAGAATTTTAACTAGGTAGGATCTTCTACTAATTTATAATACATATGTGCATATATTTTATTTTTGTAACAGTTTCAGAGATTAAATATGTTTGAATTAAATACTTTAGGGAATTAATAGATTCAATTGATTGTTTACGGACTAAATAGATTTAAATTTATATACTTTAGTAAACTTAATCGACATTTTAGGGACCAAATAGACAATTTAACCATAGTATAGGAGTAGAAAATGAAATTAATCCTTTATTTTATAAAATGGATGGTTTAAGTTTAAACTCATAGTTGTCGTCTATCTTAAAAAACAAAATGTAATTTGCTCATATGTCTAGTGATATTCGATGAAACTAAATTTTTATGCAACTCGTCTTTACTACTGAATTTACGCAAATAAACGGCTCAGATCATCATTGTAGGCTTGGATTAAGGCCCACGAAATAAAATATGAAAATGTATGATGGAGATGAGTCATTCCTGATGAAGTAAAACACACAAAATGGATGGAGGAAGCAAACAAGAATCGTTACCCCACAATAAAATTAGTGGGAATGCTCTATGTGGTTGATTGGAATGAAATGAAATATAATATAATGATCATTCATTGACAATGGTAAATGATGATTCCATTTGCAATCTATTTTTCATTATTTTCTTAGTCTTAAGAATGAAAATTTTGATAGAATAACCATTTCATTATGAGAGCTGCTATTAGCATCCCAATTATTATTTTGGAACCTCCATTTTAATTTTTTTTATTACAATAATAACTTTAAATAAAATTACTAAAGAGAACATCAATAATTGTGGGACGCCCCCACTAAATCATAAGTTAAGATTTATGGGAGCATCCACCTCTATTACCACCCACGCACTTCAAAACCTTAAAAACTTACCCACCCTCAAAACTTTAAGAACCTCCAGTAGCAATATTCTGGTGGCAATGGTGGCAACAATAGAAACCATTCAATTATACACACTTCTTCGACAATGGCAATGAGTGGAAGTTGTTCCAACAATCACAATTCCATGAGATGAATGGAGTATAACAATGTAAGCTCAAAAGAGGTTCATAACTTGGATATTGTTCTTAGTTCGGAAGAGGTTGGCCTTGTAATGGTAAGAGTCTTCAAAAACATGAACAAATATGGAAAAAACGATTTGACTTTTTTTCAATATTGAACTTTCGAACATATGACAAAAAAAAATGGCACACAAGGCCAAATTAAAGGCATTAGTTCAGCAACAGATAACCGAATATTATTTTATTCCATTATTCGTATGTTTGGCACCTTTGTTCCGAACATATGAATTTTGTTCGGACCTGATTTACCTAACACATTTTAAATTTAATTTATATTGTTATGTATTTCAGGTTGATGACGAACATTCTTTTCAACTTCCATGGAAGTTTGAAACCCAAATGCCAACTAACAAGAGGCTTTAATGGTTGTTTCTTGAAATACCCATCTCAAATCTTGCAAAGAAGAATGAAAGGCAGATGGGTTTCAGATCAAGAACTCTAGAGAGAAAAAGAAAAAAATTTAGAGAGCGAAAGAGATATTGTTGTGAGAGAGAGAAAGAGAGAGAGAGAGAGAGAGAGAGAGAGAGAGACCACCGTGAGAGTGAGAAAGGTGATCGATTGGGAGATCTCCACGGTGAACTTCATATTTGAACTTTAGGGTTCTGGGAGATGAATAGTTTTTAGGTGTGTACCAAGGGGTGTGCATTTTAGTAGGTGAAGTTTTTAGAAGGATAATTTCGGCATTATTTAGGGGGAGAAGAGAAATTTTAAGGGTTTTAAAATTGATAAGTAAAGATCCAAAGAAATAGGGGATTTAAAGTAATAAGTGGGGTGATAATAGTAGCGCTCTTCCATTATACTTCATTTTAGTGAACTAAACACTGCCTCGGGAAAAAGACTACAAAGACCTCCCAACTATGAATTTTTCAATTTTAACATAAGTAATTTGGAGTTTTTCATGACAAGATTTAAATTTTACAAGTCAGAATATTCTTCTCATTAGCACCACAAATGAAAGTCATCATGTGAAAGACAATACAATTTCAAAATGCCCATCTCCTGAGATGGTTGCTAAGTTAAAATTGACTTATTTTAGATGTTACAAAACAGGATGGAACCAATTTGCTACACAACAAGCAAGCAAGTTGAGCTTCCATGAGGGTTCCTAATGACCCTAATATATCTGGGTAAAACACAATTTCACTCATTTTTCTTGTCTAGAAACGTAAAGTCCCAAGTTGAAGAGAAGCAGTAGATCGACAAATTTCTATTGTGACAAATGTCCCATTCCCCTTCAATGCAGAAGATGATCTCTAAAGAATCATGTAAGACTGTATGATATTAAATTTTATCCCAACGAATTCAAGTTTCTTCTGTTCAGGCACAGGAGAGCATTAAAAAGATCGACAAACCATCCTTTGATCTGCTTCCTGTAGTGCCAAACACAACTTCATTACAAACTGTCTGAATTGCTGCAGTTTGAGTAAGAACTGAGAATACATTCGTAGCAACAATTTTATATTCGAAGTGAAAGTAAAAATGTAGAATACATTTAAATATATATATACATATATGCATGTGTAGAGAGGGAGCGAAAGAGAGAGAGAACTACATAAATGTAATCACAAATAAGAAGGCCAACCTGTTGGTGTAGAGAAAAAAAGCATATACAAATGCCCAAGCACCATCATCTAAATTCTAATGTCATCAATTGAGAGTTCCTTTTCTGATAGCAACTTCAGTTTCTGCAATGTGTAAATCCCAAAAAACAAAAATAAAAAATAAAAAGAAAAGAAAAATGGAACAGTCAATAATGAATTTACTTGATTAATGTTAATGCAGTGCATAACCTTTTCTTGTCCCATAACACCATTCATGCCATAAATAAAATAAAATCTGTTTCATCTGTGTTGGGCCTGATTTTAAGAAAGCTTTTTGCTTATTTTGAGATAAAATAACAAGGAAGAAAAAAAAAAAAAAACATGGGATTAGAAAGTATTACCGTAATATATTGAGGTGGATCATCAATACTAGATGAACCTAGGACAACTTCCCTCCTCAACTTTGTTGTAAGCTTGTGACAAACCCGTAGCTGCAAACAACATCAAGAATACACAATAATGCTAAGTGCAAAAGTGCAACAGACCGCAGAACCTGAACCTAAAAGAGGAAAATCTTCAGAATTTTACCTCAGATCGAGTTGCCCCACCAATAATGAATATAAATATGCGCTGGCCCATCTTCTTGAAATCATTGGATACATTCCTCAGAACCGAATCACTACAAAAGCAGCAGGGAATGATAATGACTTGAAAGTCAAGGTTTGTGGAGCTTCAGGATTGCAAACCATAGTATTTTGAACACAGACCCAAAAAGAACATCTAAGATGCTATCAAGAGTCCGATTAAGGTAGCTTTGTAATCCAACCACATGATGCAAGTTTCATCATATACCGTTTAGAAGAGCTAGGAAGATTTTAAGATATTCTCTAGCTGGCAGATGAAAATCAAGTACAAAGCAAATTCGTATGGCATATGAGAAAAGGAAGCTATTGAGTACCTTGAATACCCATCGTCAGAATGACGAGGCCTTGCCCACGTCGCAGTCCTTCTTGATCTCATGGAATGTGGAGCAGGAGCTTGGCTTGTCCTTGCTGATACACTCTGGGCACCCCCGAAGCCCCCACGAACCATTGGACTTGGTTCATTCATACACTGATATTCATCCTTTGGTAATTCACCTTTGCTAAGTTTTTCAATCAACTCCTGAGAGACATAATAGACATCAGTAATATGCCCCATTCAATTACAACATTATTAAGCATGGGCTAAAATAGTGTTTTGCAAGTAGTAAAAATATTTGTGAATAAGTACAAGGAGATTTTTTGGTTTAGTACATGTTAATAAATAAATAAATAAAACATCCATTCATTATCAATTGGTTTCTCTTTCAGGAGCTTAAATTGATTCTCAGCAAGAATCTAAATCTTGGACATTTGACAATCCATTTTAATATTTTCTCATAATGTTATTCAGTTTCTGGAGTACAAAAATCAATACAAACATTCTTGTTATTCATCATTTACAAGCTTTGACCTTACTCCACTCCCTAAATTTCAACAACATCAGATCACTTTGAGAACATTGATCTGAAGTGGGTTACATAATAGGCCAAAAAAGTTTAAAAAATATTAGCTTATATATACAAATTACTTATGACTGTATTTATTTATTTATTTATTTGTTTATTATAATGGATATATTAATCATTCACAAAGCTTATATCAGCATCAGCATCAGCAGGCGCGCGCATGCGCGCACACAAAGAAAGAGAGAACTAGCTCCGTTTGGGAAGTCAGTTTGGAGGCTTTTTTGACTCAAATAGCCACAAAAAACAAAATAGGGTTTTTAGCCCAATAAGACAAAACATCACATCCAACCCATAATCATTACATTCTTTCTTTCACAAAAAAGTCAAAAAAACCCTTCCCAAACCAGACTTTTTAGCCCCAGGTTAAATAGTCAAAAAAATCAAAAAACCAAAAAGCCAACTCACTTCCCAAACGAAGCCATAATTGCAAGAATGAAGGATCAGAATTAGTGGAAATAGAGAACCAAAAAAATCTCGAGAGGATTATCATACTCTGGTATTTAGCTGGAATATTCATTCAAGCATGAGTAGCTAAATATATATACATCTTGACAAAATAAAATCAAACACAGCATAAAAATATTATGCAGATAAGATTTGATGAACACTCTGTTGAGCATTATAGAGGATAACATTATGTCTCTTGTTATTCATCCAGAGCATAAGAGGCTATTTTACTTTCCCTATAGAACGAGCTATAACTCTACAGCTGACCACAATGCAAGAACTTTATGATATTTTCCCAAAAAAAAAAAACTCATTACCAATGAACTGGTTTAGATGGAGCAGGCAACAAATGTAAGGGGGTAGCAAGAATGCAAATCATACCTCTAGCATGGGATAAAATTTAAAAAGCTGCCATGTTTCTTCCTCTCCTGTTCGATCTTTTCTCGCTGCATGCTTCCTCTAATAATCAAACAAGAAAGTTTAGCAACTGTCAAACCATCATTCCTGAATGAAGTATGGAAGCTCTGCACTGATCTTAAACAATCATTCTCATCTGCTATGTATATTTACCTTATGAGCATCAAATTTGAGAGAGAAACTCCCAGTTGCTGCCTTCCTGGCATCTGATCCCTCAAGCATCCTCATATTTTTAACAGTCTTCATATCCTCACGTGATAATTTTGCCAACTGTAAGGAAAGAAGAAGAAGATTGAGGATGTTGTTTGCATTTCTCCTAACTTGAACAATCCAATGAGACAGATTATAGTTTTCCATAATTATAGTTTTCCGTTCTTATGTCAAAACGAGGTTTGACAGTATATATGGGAAAAAATCTCAAGTATCATAAATCTCTCTTCTCAAGCAATGCCCACAATGAATCTCCTACAATTACAAACAGAATCACACAGATCTGACAGGAGAATAGGCCAACAGCACCCCATAATTGTACACGCAGTGGAAATGTAGGCAAAGTTGAGTGAAGATTTGAGAAAGTTAGGATTTTGATGAAGATTTGGGAGGAGAATATCCTTTTCTAAGTAAGATTAAGAATGTTTCAGTTACATCACAATTTCCTATATTCATCAATTGAACAAGAAGCGTAACACAGCATCCAAAGGTAAAAGCAGTGTTGTCTGAAGCGGCAAAATGCAAGCTAGCATTTATAATCTTAAGAACTGAAAATGGTTCAAGGCATGTTAGTATAAGTTCGTTCCTATGAAGGATTAATTTAGTAATATATTTGGGAGATCCATATGGAAATGAAATTATATCTTTGATATAGGAATAGTGAAGCTTTTAATAATATAAAGATCGTTTGTTCTTTAAAGCAATGGCTAGCAAGCATAGCATTGTAACATACAATATAATGAAGTAGAACTGTGGACAAAACATGTTTGTGTGTGTGTATACATGATATGAACTGCTTATCTGTAAGCCAGTAAATGTCAGTTTCAGATTGTAATGATTGTGATAAAATAAACACTGATTTACAATTTATAAGGTGCGCAAAAGATCTCTCCCTGATTTGGAAACAAATTCTATCTGTCCAAAATGAACCAGTACACAGAAGTGATCAATGGATGCTAGATTTTAGTTTGGTCCACTTCATGATGACGCATATAGTTCTAAATGAAATAGTGAAATTTTGTGGGGATTACCTTGGCTTAGAAATTAGGAGTAGTTAACAAGCGAAAGATGCAACCATATATTTCCAGAATTAACTGAGAATTTTTATGCTTTTGAGGAGCCTTTTATTACCACTAGAATTAAGAAGGTGGAAAAGAAAAAGTCGAAGTCTGTAAAACAGGAACTAAAATGAAAACTAGTTGAAGCATAGGTATACGTGTCCAAATCAAGAGGCATCCATTGCCCACAATATTAAATCAATGTAAAGAATCAATATTTAGCTTATTGGTGAATTCAGTTCAAAATCAGACTCAACTTATTTTATACAGAATATGGACGACTACTTAAAACTATGTTCATGTAAAGGTGGAGTCTACAATTTGAGGAGCCTCAAACATGCACACATGAGCAAGGAAGAAAGCACACTGATCAATATGAAATTGAGAAAAAGCACTCACAAATTAGTAAGAAAGCAAAAATAATGCAAGCCGACAAATTCCGCAGATTGACAAGGCAGCATGAGTAGTGAATAATACATCAGGACTGGAATGAATAAAATCGATATTAGCCTTTTCTTTTTTCAACTTCCTCTTGGATTTAAGTTTCTACCCATAGCCTTTAAACCTCCCAAGTCCTAATTATGTACCATCTCTATAGCACCCCTCAACAATTTCATAACCAGTTCTCAAACCCCAACATACATGCAATTTGCACTTCTTATGCTTGTACTCATTACCACAATGTAGCTCTAGTGGGTCAATCAATCGATGCCTAGTTTGGATGGCTGGAATGGAAGACATGGGGTGAAAACCTTGTTAGAATAGTATATTATTATTTGAGTTATTATTAAATTGTAATTATTCAATACCTTAGACTTCCTTGTAATTATTAATCTTCATTAATATAAAAAAGGATGATATCATAATCATTTCCTAATCTTGGAGTTCTCTAAAATTTCATGGTTTCAGAGCGGAAACCTAAAACCCATCACCCACACTCCAATGACACCAAGCAGCCACCATCCATCACTACCGAAAGGTCTGCCGGAATCACCCATACTCGGCCGACCAACCCTTTGACCCTTTCAGCTTAAGCCGACACCTTTCTGAGCCTTTTTCGGCTCAAGCCAAAGGGGCCCTAGCTTGTCCTTGTAGTCGGCACTCTTGGAGGCCTTCTTTGCCCTCCTCTAGGCCTGTCGGCAGCACCTGGTTGGACGACTGGGGCCTTCGTGGTCACCTAGGTAGTCGACTAGTGCTGGTTGATCGACTGGTGCCTTTGTTTCCATCTGGTTGGTCAGCTAGTGCCTCACATATGGCCTGAGTGTTTTGTCATCTTTCTTTCCGTCTCTCCTAAAAAAATAAAAAAAATTAATGCAATAAAAAAAAAAAAAAAAAAAACTGTATGCTTTCATAATGGTCGTTGTGTTTTCCTTCCACCATCATCTTTTAGGTTTGTGATTAGCACTAGTTTTGTTGAGGGTTCGGTAGTACAGTATTCATGGTAGATTCCACTAGTGTGTCTCCTACTTAGGTACCTAGGAGTGAGAATTCCACTATACCTACTACTGTGACTGATAATCCCAATCCTAGTCTTAAAATGACCACATCTCTATTTAATGGTCAGAACTATACCTACTACTGTGACTGATAATCCCAACCCTAGTCTTAAAATGACCACATCTCTATTTAATGGTCAGAACTATCTAGTGTGGTTGTAAAGTTTGACTATTTTTTTTTGAAGAGTAGGGGAAAGATGGGATATGTTGATAGCAGGATATAGGCACCCAACATCACTGACCCGGGTTATGACCAATGGGAGATTACCAACTCTTTGATTATGAGTTGACTTATTCATTTGATGGTATCAAAAATTAGTGAGGGCTACTTGTCCATAGAGACTACCCAGGATGCTTGGGATGCTGTGGCTGCCACATATTTCTGCAAAGGGAATTTCTCATAGGTATTTGAATTGCGCCGCTCTATTGAGAGCTCTATTCAAGGGGGGCAGCTTGTTCTTCAGTACTTCACTTTCCTCACCAACGGCTGGAAACGTTATTCCCGCAAAGGGAATTTCTCACAGGCGCATCTATTGAGAGCTTTGTTCAAGGGAAGAAACCTGTTCTTCAGTACTTCCTTGATCACCTGCAAGATTATAAGCTTGTTTGTACTGCTGATTTAGTTGGGTACAGAAAGTTCATTGCACAGGAAAAGGTCTTCAAGTTTCTGACAGGTCTCAACGTGGAGTATGATCCGGTTTGGAGTCGGATTCTGGGTATAGACACTCTTCCTTCACTTCAGGAGGCATTCGCCTATATACAGAATGAGGAGAGTCATCGTTCTGCTATGATGCCTCATGTCTCTACTGACCGCTCAGGATTACTGTCTACCCTAGAGATGGCCTCAGCCTGACTCCCATCATTCCGTCTGCCACCAAGGAGTCTGTATTCTGTGATTACTATAGCAAATCGGGGCATACTCATGAGACGTGTTAGAAGCTTCATGGGACTCCATCCAGGGGTCTCGGTAATCGATCTAGTTCTAGAGGAGGTCGGCCAAGCCAGTTTAGAGGACGTGGTTCTCATCTACGGGCTCATCAGTCTAGTGCCGTTGATACACTTGATTCTGCTTCCGCTTCCATTGACCTGGCTTCTGATGGTCTCTCTGGCATGCGTACTCATGAGCTTGAGGATGTTTTGCGTCACTTGCTGGACCGTCGGTCTTCTACTGCTTTCAGTACATCTTCCTCGTCGTTTGCCCGCTCAGGTAACTTAGCATATTCTCTTCTTGTTTTCCTTTTTCATAAGTCTTTACCCTGAATTATTGATTTTGGTTCCTCAGACTGGATGCTCTGACATTTTCTCTGCCTATAAGCCCTCTTCAAGTTAGGACAAAGCTAAGATTGCAGATGGTACTGTTTCTTCTATTTCTGGAAAATGTTTAGTCCATGTCACTCCTACCATACCTATCTCCTGTTCTCCATGTTCCCAAATTTTCTATTAACCTGTTATCTTTGAGTCGTATTACAAAGGATTTGAATTGTAGTGTGATATTTTTTTCCTAATCATTGTCTTTTTCAGGATCTTGTCACGAGGAGGACGATTGGCAGTGGTAGTGCAGAAAATGGTCTTTACTTCTTGGATCAACCGGACAAGCTTGCTCATTCTTCCACCACGAGTCCTACTACCAAAGATGATTTATGACTGTGGCATCGGAGTCTGGGACATCCTTCATTTTATTTACTTAAACATTTATTTCCATCTGTTTTTGTAAACAATAATGTGTCTGAGTTTCTTTGTGAGTTTCGTCAACTTGGAAAACAACACAAAGCTTCTCTTGCTTCCAGTTTTAATAAAAGTTTAGTTCCTTTTTCATTAATACATTCCGATATTTGGGGTCCATCTCATGTTATGTCTGTGAAAGGTCATCGATGATTTGTTACATTTATTGATGATTTTTCTCATACTACTTCGGTGTATCTCATGAAAGACAAGAGTGAGGTTTTCTCTATGTTCCGCAACTTCCATAAGATGATTTGTACTCATTTTGGGGCCATTGTCAAAATCTTCCGGTCTGATAATGAGGGTGAATACATCGATTCTGGGTTAGGGCAATATTTTTCTGATCGTGGCATTATCCAATCAGACCTCTTACACTAATACCCCTCAACAAAATGGGGTAGCGGAACGCAAGAATCGTCATCTTCTTGACATGGCTTGGTGCATGTGCTTTTTTATGAGTGTGCCTCGATCCTACTGGGGCAACGGTGTTCTCACCGCTGCTCATCTTATTAATCGTCTTCCTACCTAGGTCTTACATAAACAAGCTCCCCTTCAAGTCCTCCTTGGTTCTGAGTCATTGTTTTCTATTCTTCCCAAAATCTTTGGTTGTGTCTGTTTTATCCATAATCACTCTCCTACTCGTGGTAAGTTGGACCCTTGCTCCCTCAAATGTGTTTTCCTTAGGTACTCTCCTACTCAAACTGGGTATAAGTGTTATCACCCTCCTTCTCATAAGTAGTTCGTGTCCATAGATGTCACATTCTTTGAGTCCCAGTCCTATTTCTTGTCCTCTCTAATGTCATAGTCCTCCCTTCAGAGGGAGCCTTTGTGTGAAGTGAGTCCCGTGATTCCTATAGTTGAACCAGTGGTTCTTGCACCACCACCTCATACTTCACCACCTCTTACTGGGACTACCAAACCTAATGTCACCAAGGATAAGGAAGAGCAAGTTTATGTAAGGAACAAAGACAGACAAAAAGTTAATTGGATACAAGAGACCATTTCTGCTCACCCACTGCCATCTCCTACTTCTGATGAGAGTCTATGTAACTTTAAATCTCTTAAGTCCACTGATCTTGATACTCCTACTGATCTTAATGTCCCTATTGCCAAGAGAAATGGTGTGAGATCTTGTACTCAACATCTTATCTCAAATTTTGTGTCTTTCTCATTTGTTGTCCTCATATTGAGCTTTTGTGTCAAATATTTCCTCTATTAGCAATCCTAACGATTTTTAGGATGCTCTTGCTACTTCTGAGTGGAAACTTGCCATGATTAAAGAAATAAAAGCACTTAGGAAGAATGGTACTTGGGAATTGACTGAGTTACCTAAGGGCAAACAACCTGTAGGATGCAAATGGGTATATATTGTGAAACACAAAGCGGATGGTTCTATTGAGCATTACAAGGCTACACTTGTGGCAAAATGGTTCACTCAGACATATGGCGTTGACTATCAGGAGACCTTTGCACCCGTGGCTAAGATGAATTTAGTCAGAGTACTCTCTTTAGCAGCTAATTTAGATTGGCCACTTCATCAGTTTGATGTAAAGAATGCCTTTCTCCACGGTGACCTAGAAGAAGAGGTATATATGGACATTTCTCCTGGTTTTGAGGATCATCATACTGAGGGTAAAGTATGCTGGCTTCGGAAGTCATTATATGGTCTCAAACAGTCTCAAAGGGCTTAGTTTGAGAGATTCACTCAGGCTATGCTTAAATATGGCTTCAAACAGAAGCAGGCAGATCACATTTTGTTTGTGAAACATTCCTCACTTGGTAAGACTACAATGCTCATTGTTTATGTGGATGATATAGTTCTTACAGGCGATGATAGTGAGGAAATATCTCTGTTGAAGAAATATTTAGCAAGTGAGTTTGAAATCAAAGACTTGGGAAGCTTGAAGTACTTTCTGAGATTTGAAGTTGCTCGCTCCAAGGATGAAATATTTATCTCACAAAGAAAGTATGTGCTTGACCTATTGAAGGAAATTGGGATACTTGGCTGCAAGGCCTGTGACACTCTACTGGAACCTAATTAGAAACTGGGGGATGATGAAAAAGGAGCAGCTGTTGATAGGGGGAGCTATCAGCGATTAGTGGATAAGCTTATATACTTATCTCACTCCCATCCTCATATTGCTGTTGCTGTCAGTGTGGTTAGCCAATTTATGCATGCTCCTCATCAAATTCGCTTCAAGGCTCTCATGAGAATTTTGAGGTACTTGAAATAAGCTCCTAGCAAGGGTCTTCATTTTTCAAAGCATGATCATTTTCGTGTGGAAGCCTACACAAATACTGACTAGGCTGGATCAGTAACTGATAGAAGATCGACTTCAGGGTATTGCATCTTTGTTGGAGGCAACCTAGTTACTTGGAGGAGTAAGAAACAGAATGTGGTTGCCAGGTCAAGTGCAGAAGCTGAGTTTAGAGTTATGGCATAAGGAGTGTGTGAGCTTTTATGGATCAACTCAGGGTATTGATCAGATGGACTCCATGTAGTTATATTATGATAATAAGGCTGCTATCAACATCGCTCACAATCCGGTTCAACATGGCAGGACAAAGCATGCTGAGATTGATCGCCACTTTATTAAGGAGAAACTCACTAGTGGCATAATATGTACTCCATTTGTGCAGTCTGGTGAACAACTTGCTGACATTCGCACCAAGGGAGTTGGAAGCAAGCCATTTCATGACATCTTAGGCAAGTTGGGCATGAGAGATATTTTCGCACCAGCTTGAGGGGGAGTGTTAGAATAGTATATTATTATTTGGGTTATAATTAAATTATAATTATTCTATGCCTTAGGGCTCCCTTGTAATTGTTAATCTTCATTAATATAAAAAGGGGATGATATCATAATCGTTCCCTAATCTTGGAGTTCTCTAAAATTTCAAACCTCAATGTCAGGAATTACATTACTAAGTAATGTGATTCCTACCATCAGTGTTATTCAGGCATTTGGAATAGTAATGAATCTTCTGTGGGAAAGTGAGAAGATTTAAATTTTGGCCTTCTTTCTTTTTTGTTCAGAAATAGTTCAAGAATGTGAGATTCCCATTGAGGGGTGTGGCCTCCTTGAATGCATAACCTGGAATAACTTTCAAGGTCTTGGTGCACCCAATGACAGAACGAACGAGATATGGAATAAGATTCTCATTCTTCCTTCATTCCACCACCCAAACATAGCCTCACTTTTTTTCTTTTTTCTTTTTTTGATCAGTAAAAGTCAGTGGTTAGTTGTTAAATTAGCCCAAGGAATTGAACCCCCAACCTCTCCTTGCAAGTACTTATGTCTTACCCCCCGTGCCACTAGACCACAAGGCCTTGGGTCCATCCAAACATAGCCTTAGAGAACAGGACTGGAGGAGAGCAGAACAATGATATAATGCCCCATGGAGGAACCAAAGCTTCATTATTGGGAAAAAAAAGAACCATAATTTGATATCGATCAGTTACCTGCATAAGCTTTGTAGCTTTGTCACCCTCAAACTTCTCAGGATAAACAGATGCATAGATCATCAGCAAACGCAACTTATTTTCACAACTTGCATCCTGCATGAAAGAAAAAAATAGTTCATTATCAGAACATAGACATAACATGCATTGATTGTTATCCGGAGTCAATTTATTAAAATTGCACCTGGGTTGTCCTCAAGAAATTGATGATTTCTTTTGTTCCTGCATCACCAAAGACAATATCCTGTTCAAGTTGCCCAAGTTCCCGAAGTCCCATTTCTCTGATAATTCTGTTAATTTTTCCAGCAATCTGTATTGCAATAAAAAAGGTAACTGATTAGCATGGAAGCATTTAACCCACATACTTAGATTACCTATTCTTTATAATCCTCCTCAGCATGATCCATTGATTAATCCTACTCATCTTGTTGTTAATCTCATAATAAAACAAGTGATATTTTTAACAAACTTGAACTCCCTATGTGGGATGGAAAGGAGGAATACTTCCTCAGATGCATGGCTGAAGTGATTCCATGTTGAAATTGAAAGTGAATGCTAAAGATACTCAATTCAGTAAGGTGTATGAAAATAACGAAGAAAGAAACCGACCTCCACATGAAGAGAAAGCTTTTCCATTTGTTCATTGTACTGAGGCAAAGCCTGAACCATTTTTTGCAAGTCTCTTGTGGATAATTCAGCACCATCTCTGCATAAGGTCAAAGTTCAACATAAGAAGGATATAGTAAAATAGCAGCAATTGCAAGATAAGCACTAAAATTAATAAAGGTATTAAACAATGCCCCATGGGCACCTGTTAGAATTTGCCTAAATTTTACTGGCTAGAAATGCAGCAATTTTGATGCAATAAAAAATGTATACAAATATTTAGCATGTTTTAACTTGTAAAAAAATTGATTTTCATGAAAAATTGATTCCGATTCTTATGGAGTTTCAGATCATAAACTAATGACATTAATAATAAACATCATGCTTTTGTATTGTAGTATTCCTTAGAGTGGAAAAAAATGGAGCAAGAAAATAGAACAACTGTAATAAGTTCACCAGCACCAACCTTTGCTGCAGTTGTGCGGCTTTGTTCTTTGATACAAAGTTTGTCATCTTTTCATGCAACCGCTCACTAGCCTGATATGGCAGTTAGTGGTAAAGAATAATCACTTACACATATTGAAAAAAAAATATAGAAATGCATGACACTTACATCTGCTATATGTGCATGGCGGAGCTCAAGCCAGACAGGATCATGATCTTCCAAGAGGACCTCCTTTTTCTCAGGCTCACCGCCGGTTTTGCTAGGAATCTGGCATCAAGCATATGTTAACTTCCACCGGAAAAAAATCCTCCGGAAAAAAAAAAAAAAAAAAAACTTCTTGAAAGAATCTGAGCAGCAAAAGAATATAAAACCAACAAGATGTACCTCGTGCACGTATTTATTTCCATCCATGTCCAGTAGATCATGGCACATGGCATCATAAGTCCATTCATGAATGACAGGAGCAATCTAAACATGCATTCTCATATTCACTATTCAGTAAAATCCAACCAATAAAGCATACACAACAAGCCAGTCAATAAAAAAATTAACTGTTAACCTGATCAACTGATCTGTCTAGGATGAGAAACTCGCATGTTTCCGTCTGGGGAAAGTTAGGAATAGTAGTTTTATATGTTGTAATAGAGTTCCAAATAGCAGCGGCAAGCTTTGTAGGAACTAAATCACGGAATGTTGTTACTGTAGATGAATCAAGTGCCTTGGCAGCACGATACCGCACAACAGGGAACTCCTGACAAGATACAAACATGTGTAAATAGCAACAGTTTCATTTTTTAACCCATTATCGCACATCTAAAATGGTGCTATTGTACCCCTAACAATCAGGAAATATTAACTTTCAATTATAGGAGCTATTATTCTTTCTGAACCATGGATTGTCAATCATGGATATTTTGTTACTTTAATTCCTTTGCAGAGCTCTTTCACAGCTACTCTGAATTATTACCTTATTTTTGCAAGCTTTAGATCCATAGTGACAAAATAAAATACTATTGCTTAATTATTCAATTAAAAATAATTTATGTTCCAAATAAACTGCAAAATCCTAAAATTTGTTGAAATAAAACTTATAGGCACCATACGATATACTTCAATAAGTTTTGTTCCATAGGGATATAATGCGATAAAAGAAGTTTTATATATCTGGAACAGCTCTTTCGTGAATCGTAAGATTCATTTTATCTAATATAATAAATAATTTTATATATTTATATACATATAAAAATCCACTCATAGTGTTTAAAATGATGAAAATATCAATATAACTAAATTTTATATGTATACACACATATAATATCATGTATATCAATATAACAAATTTGATCTTTCTACATATCTTGATAGTTTGGCAAAAACAACATTGTTTCATGTATTATGTAAGCAAAAACAAAAATAAAACTGAATCGTAGTGAGCCGGAAATTCAATCAAACGATTTATTCAATTTCCGATTCAACAATACAATTTGAATGGTTTCTGTTGAAACTCATATCAAATCGTATGAATCGTACAATTCTAACAACCGTGACATGTTCAAAATTATAATAAAAGAAGATAAATATCACTTTCAGGCAAACATGTGATTGTAAATTCCTTTCAGTGTATATGCATATTGGAGGAGTATAAGGCTTAATTATGAATGAAGTAGGATTTATATATGCCTTATTTGATAAATCAGGCATATGATGAAAAGAAGGTTGTAGGAACCATGAAGCATCATTATTATTGAATAGAACAACTTAAAGTTCCATTTGGAGCAAGGAAAATGAAACCATGACATTAAAATCCCACAAGACATGGAGGTACTCAACATGAGTTGGATTTATTGCTTGTGTTAACTACAAATATGACATCAAAATCGCTGCTTCTAATAGGTAGTTCTCAAAATCACATGGCCTATATTTAGTGGTGCAACCAATATTGTACTATCCCTCTACCTATAATAACGAGATTAGAAGTTACACATTAATAACAGAATAAACCTGAAATAAGACTCTATGATACTCTAAAAAATCTAGAATTTTGCATCATTTCCATTTTTTGTAAGTGAAGAAAATGGAGCTTCAAATAACACATGTTAAAATTTCAAAAGGAGCTAACCAACTGGCAATATTGTGACATCTATAAGTTCATACCTTCAATGAAGCAAAAACAGTAGCAATTCGGCTTGCCATTACATTCAAGCAAGCATCAAATTTGCGAGAATTCTCAACATCTTCACCAAAGAGGTCCTCTAAAGCTCTTTCATGCTCAGTGATATATGCCTATGGAAAAAATTCCCAGTGGACAACAGCCCATATTATTTAAGAGAAAAAAAAAAATCAGAACCAGAAAGTGAATGCAAACTGACGTGGAAAGAGATGATACAATGTTCATGAATAAATGTAACTTTTCCCAGTTTGAAGAACCTAAAGTAAAGAAAACCCTAAAAAATAGATAATGTGAATAGCCAACTATACAACATTCTTGTCCTAATGCTTGGAGACTAAAAAGTTTCCTTGCATATATTCAAAATCCATCAAGAGGTGCATCTAAAGGGTCATTAGAACCACAAGCAAATGAATTACGCATAACTTCTCAAGTTGAAACAATTGCAAATGGATCTAACAAACTATAAAACACAACCCATGTTCAACAACACTTCCACAATAATTATTCACACTACAAGATTATTTGTATATCGTTTTGATCATCCATTACACCCAAAAAATTTGGAACTGATTTCCTAGATAAGGTTGGAGCAATGCCATTAAAGTTTTTCCTGGCAGTTTTTTAGAGGAAATAATAAAATTATTACTGTTGACATCCCTCATCAGTATTTTATCGAGTATTACCAGAATAACAGGTGGCATCAACTATTACCTGACTGTCTATAGAAAAGTACTCCAAATTCATCTGCATTTCATCAAGTAACAAGAAGAATGTCACAGGTAGAACAAGTGTTTTAAAAAGAAAAGTCTCTTGCTATATATAAAAGAAAAAAAATTAACCTCTCTCAATGCACCTATACGGGGTAACACACTTGTATCATTCTTGATGCGACTAACCAATTCCTTTGGGATAGGCGTACTGAAGTATACATATGCTCTGTAGCATAGGGTAAAAACACACCAAAAAAAAAAAAGAGAGCAAAGATTCACTATAAGGATAATAAAGGTTCAAGATCACAACAAAGAAGAATAACATAAAAATGAAACCTGGAATCTATTACATACTTTTTGTATAGAGGTTCTCTTCCGGACATGTCAGACAAAAACATGACAACACTGCAATATGGCAAATGATAAGAGTTACAATAGGTCCTAAACTTCTTAATGCGATTCAGCATGGAATGGAGAATATTGTAAAAGAATTCAGATAAGAAGAAACCGTAAATACTTTTTAAAAAAGACAACAAAAATTAAACAAAATGAAACACCAAACATGAAAATAAGATAGACAATGAAACTGTGAAAATACCTGAAAAAATCAAACAGGAAAATAAGATGGAGGAAAATGTGAAAATACATGAAAATGAGATTTGAACTAAAAATAATAATAAAATCTTTAGCACACTAAAGAAGGAATGAAAACAAGCAACTTGCCAACTTCTAATATGCATGCAAATTATACTCTCCAGGTTCATATACACTTACATAAACTAAAAAATTGTGACAAACAAACATTTGAGATGACAACCTTCTCCATCACTAAAAAGCAGGATGAATAGTCAGAGATATCAGAGCTTAATCTGATTAATGTGAGAGAACAATAAATTGATTGCCCCTAAAATTTTAAATGTACAAATTGCATGATAGGGACTATCTACGAACAAAGATATAGTCATTTGACACCCTGCAAGTGAAATATAAGTTCCAAATATCAAGTGGTCCATATCTTCTTAATATAATCTGAAATCTCAATGTCAATAGTTCACTTAAAAATATATCACGTAAGAAGATTCCAGAGACAGAAAATCTTTAAAATTTGTCACAAAAACTGAATATAAAAATAATAGATTCCTGGGGTTAGATGCAACTTCGAGAATATATGACAAAATAGTGTCCAAATTTGGAAGTTCCATTATACAACTATCATTGTGAAGAAAACAATTAGCTGTAGATGTCCTAACAGTCTCATGTACTATATAGCAAGGCATGCGATTCTTAAATGCAAAACAGAAACTGACAGCACATATTAAAGATTATAGACAGCTAAACCCTACTAAAATGTTACACCACTGCAACTTTTGAATCTTGGTACCAGCAGATCCCCACCCTAAACATAGATACAATCATTGAGGTAGTTAACTCAGTGACTCACAGGAGTGCACAACTTTGACTACACCTGACTACTGCTTTTCAGAAAGTAAGAAATAGCCATGCATGTATACCATCATCCAAAGCATGTTTTCTATAACAGCTTTCACTTGATTTGAAAAATTCCAAAAGAAAAGGGACTAACAAAGTCAAAACAATACAATGTTTTAAGATTGGAAAGTAAAGATGGTGGAAATTTGAAATGAAAGCTATTATATTGAGAAAGAAAAGACCATATCAAAAAGTTAAAACTCTTTCAGTCGTTCATCCTCTTTCTACTTATCAGTCATCCAGGAAGAGAGAGAATGTTTAAAAATAAAACATAATCCATTTATCTAGTCCAAGGATGGGCCTTGGCGAAACAATAAGGTTGTTCCATAGTGACGTAGGCATAGTGGGTTCAAAACATGGAAACACGACTCTCCACGTGAGCGGGTAAGACTACACATATCTGACCCTTCCCACACCCTGCAGTGGCAGGAGCCCTGTGCACTGGGCTGCCCTTTTTGTTGATCTAGTCCATAATGCCTTACCAATATTATCTAAACAAATGTATTATTGAACAAATCAAATATCAAACAAAAACAAAAATAAAAAATAAAAAAAACATATGCAAGAGGAATACAGTGAGAGGGGCAAAAGTATAAATACTAAGCAAAGGCTATTTTTCTTCAGACAACACATGCAAGCACTCTTCTTTCGCATTACTAGCTGTTCTGGAAGTAAAGATGCCATCCTAAAAAGGACAGTTCAGAGCAGCACTAAAACTACCAAGAGTCCAGTTTGCAATTACACAAAGACTTGTTGCCTCATAAACCAACAATAGTTAATTTCTCAACCAAACCTAAGGAAGCCTTACTCAACTCTCTGGCACTTACCTACATTTTTTGATCAGCCTGGCACTTACCTACATAGGCATTTTAGTAATTTCGCTCTGTCTAGAATTGATAATGGAAAAAGACGCATATAGTTCAGAGATAGCATACAGCAGACACTTGAACACCCAGGTTCTTCCAATTACTCAAGGTAAGAAATTTTGTATGAATTTGTTCACAATTGAGTGACAAAATCAAAGTTTTATATATTTATTTTATTTTTTTTATTTTCATTTTTTTGGTCTTGAAAAAATTGAAGTTAAACATAAAAACAGCGAAGTAAACTTTCTTCTTTTCACTTAATAATCTAAAATGATAAACACATACAAACAAAGGAGAAAAAGGAAAGCATAATGAATTTCATACATTAAGAAATCTGCATTTTGTGCACCTTCTCTCCTAAACAACTAATAAACAATGTATGAAATAATAAAGAAGTTAGTTATACTTCTCTTTCGAAGGTTGGATGAAATATATGGCATCCATAGAAGGCAAAGGTTGCCTTCTCCTGAAAAGGTCTTCCACCACTGCAGGAAAAGCAAAAACTCCATGAGTTGCAATTGTTAAATCTAGAAACTTGTTCTGCACAGTTGTTGGATTCACTATGAAACAAATAATGCTCATGACAACCAACATGGGAGCAAAACATAGGTGATTGCATTGAGCAATAGCAATATAACAATCAAAAGCAGGACCATCAATTGAAAGGAGCAGTGTATTTTCATTATTTTTTAAAAAAATAAATAAATAAAAAGAAAAGGAAAAAGAAAAGAAATTGAAAGAAGCTGGAGAATAAATAAAATTTGATCATTCATATTAAATGCACTCACTGACACAGAAACACATGCACACATTTGACATTAATGTTCAATTCACAATTGATGTCTTTAGATACTTACATGAAACTCCTTCATCTGTAATATCAGCCATTTTGCACGAGCAAGACATAACTTTCACAGTAACTTTATCCATAATGAGTACCTGTAAGAAAATATTTAAGGTTGACCACAAATTTGACAAAATGATTCCCCATGTTTTCCAAAACTAAACGGCTAAAGAAGAACAAGACAAATTATCTAGCAAGAAGAGTGACATTGTACATCTCAAGATGATTTGCTTCCAGGCTTCAAATAGCTGGATTAATCCAGCGAAAGTACCAGCAAACTACAACCCCTATGAAATCAAAAAGAAGAGAGACTTCTTCACCATAGGCCAAATAAAATTTTCAAGGGAGTTTAATCCCAAGTCCTCTATGCTGATAAAATATAGTTTTTATTCCACTGACCACTGCAATGCTGTAACCCACTTTTCATGCCAAAGAATTCATAGTTATCGTGAAAAAACAAGTGCTATGTTCATAAATTGAATATAGCTAAGATGAGGATGCTTAGATGGATGTGTGATAAGACTAGGAAAGACAAAATTATAAATGAATATATTTGGAAAATAGTAGTAGCAGCACCTACTGAGGACAAGTTGAGAAAGACGACACTAAGATGGTTGGTCATGTACGATAGAAACCTATAAATGCAACAGTAAGAAAGAGTGATATGATCACTATAAATGGAAATGTTAGGGGCAGGAGGAGACCTAAACTGACATGGGATATGATAGTAAAAAAGGATATGAATTTATATAATTTAACTACTCAAATAGCCATATAGCCCTTGACAGAGCGAAATAACAAAACATATTTCGGTGGCTCATCTCTTTCTTCATTGTTCGGTGGCTCTTGAGTTATGGTAGCATCTATTCGGCTTGTGTGATGTTAAATGGGTTGCTCCACAGGATTGCACACATATGCTTCTTGTTAAGTTTGAAGGGTTCGGCGGCTCTAAGAGAGCCAAAACATTGTGGTCTTGTATTGTTTGTGCTATTTTCTGGACTATTTGGCTGGAGAGAAATTCACGAATCTTTGATGGAAAGGAGGCTGCTGCAGATTCTTTATGGGGTAGGGGTGGGTTTTTGGCTTCGTTTTGGGCTTTTGTGTCTCCTCCTTTTAAGAGAGTTCCACTCTTCTTGATTTCTAGGGATTGGGCTGATCCCAATCCCTAGTAATTGGATTTTCTTGTTTTCTCTTAGTTTTTGATGGTTGTTTTTATTTTGTTAGGCACTTTTTCACTGTATGAGGACTTCTTGTCCTCCACACTTTCTTTTCTTTTTTTTAATAAATTTTGTTGTTGATTTTCTAAAAAAGTAACAAAACATATTTCATGTACCGACCCCACTTAATTGGGGCACGAGATTAGTTTGGTTTGGTTTACTTCTTACATTATAAAATAATCTTCAAATTATAAACAAATCCAATAAATGTCAAACACAATCCTAGACATCAGAAAAAGTTTCAAGGTCATTCCTTGTTCTATACTCTCTACTACTAAGGTTAAAGAACAGCATATGTACATATGAGCGTAAAGGAGTCAAAGTATGTAAACAGTGATATCTACCAAAGATCCAATCAAAAAAAGGCAAGGACAGTGTTCATCTCTATTTGGCCCCATTAGAGACCTCAATGTAGTGATACATGCTAAAATTATTATGTATCATGTATGCAGAAAGTTATAACAATTCCTTGCCCTAATTTAAGAAGCACAACCATTTTTTTAATAATTTAAAAGCAAAGAAAACAAATCAAGCTACTACCAATAGGAAACAAGTTACAAGAAAGTTCCTTTCCTCCAAAACAATAAATCTATCTATTTATATAAAAAGAAAACTGACCTTCCAAGTTGATTTTGAGTCGCCTGATTTGGATGATCGGAGCATTTCGTGCAATAAACCTGAAATATCCAATCCACAAGTAGGTGGTGAAAGAGAGCAGATGAAAAAAAAGAAGAAAGAAGAATCATGGCTCTGCAGATTAATAAAATAAAAAATATTGAAAAGAAATAGTTGCCAAACAAATTCAATTTCAAAAAGGTCATACAATGCCTTGTAGAAGAAGAGGCAGATTTAAAAAAATAAAGCATGTACATAACATGTTTAGTTTATTACATATTTACTGTATACATATACTCATAGTCTTAAGATCTGCCTCATTAAGTAACTGTTATATTCTCTGACATTGAGTGTCACTTGCTATTTGAAATCTCCAAGATTTCTATCAATCAAAGTTTTTTCTTTATTTTTTTGGTTGCCAATTAAAACCAGTAGATCTTTCCGAAAGTGATTTCAAACAATATGGCAGATGTGAGCCCCAATGTTGCTAATATCAGTCACTGGAGCACTCAAATCAAATGCCAATCCATCATCCAAATCTTACAAGTCTCGAACAATGTGGTCCGTTTTTTCATGAAGATAGCAAATCAAATTTGTGTACACCACAACTAAAAGCAATTTGGATTTATCAATTTAAAATGAATAAACGTAAAATCTAGCCATTTAAAGGGAATAGCTTAATTTCAATAAGATGCATGGATGGTTTTGAGAGCTTTATTATGAACGGATTTAAAATAACAAGGTGAAGGCAATCTCTCAAATCCATCCAAGAAAGCTTCTACTTGCACAAGTATCTTAATCAGACAAGTTTCTCTCCTACCTCTACTTCTATCCTTTCTCTTAGGTCTTTAAAAAAAACCTAGTAGCAAACCCTCCTATAAATTGTGAATTTGAACCACAAAACCCTTTATTTCAAATCCAACCATCCAAATCGAATTCTAGAAAATTTCAAGGAAAGATATTCCAAATCTGGAGAGTTTTAATTGATTCTTCAATCTCAAGTTTCAACAGTCCTTTTTTACTTAACTTTATTTTTTTATTAATGAAACACCATATCCATGGTGTAAGTTCAAACCTGAGAGCAGGCACTTCGTGCAAATATTGTCAAAGGTTACTCTGTAACCAATTTGCTCCTCCCGGACCCCAAACCAATGGGACTAAACAGGACATACATTTTTAGACGCAATATCCATGGTACTGCAGCCTTTCTGTTACTACTAAATATTAAACCTCTTGCTCATCTGAACTCCATTGTTAAGCACTCTGAACTGTTCTTTTTGAGGAGTGACCTGTGCTAGAGTTGTTAGCTTCTCTATGCTAGTCCTTTATTCCACTCATACTAGTTCAAAGGTTGAGGCATTTTGGTCATCCTTCATCACTAAACAATAAGCATATCAAGGCACTTTCAGGTGTTTATGGTTCTTCTCTTTAATTATGCAACTAGCGAACTTGTGCACAAGATCTCTTCCCACACAAAAACAAACAACGGCATTGTGGAAGCAATCCAAAAAAGCAAAGCAGTGCTCTTACTATTTATATTAATCAATTGCAACCATTAATTTGGTTCAGGGAAACAGTTAAGGAAATAGCAAAGGCAACATAAAAGAAAAATAAAGGAAAATGAGAATGAAAGTAAGAAGAAAGATGGATTCATTAATTAAAAGTTTAGGCTCCATTTTTCTCCCAATGTGCTTCACTTTTCTCACTACTTTACAAGGAAAAATGAGTTTCTCCAAAGTTGTGAAAATTATTTTTTTTCCCTTTCATTTTTTCTTTTCCTTATTACCTTTCCAATAAAATCAAACAAACAACCATAGTTTATAGTCCGTTTGGTAAACTAGGTGAGAAAATAAATGAAATGATTACAATATCTATTTAGATAAATGAGAAACAAAAGAGGACATAAGTATCTTTTTGTTGTCAACGCTTTGTATTTAGATGGGTAATTTAGGAATATTTAAAATTTGGATAAATTACACTAAACTCCTCTAAGGTTGGGAGAAAATACAATAAGTTCCACAATTTTAGTATAATTATACTGACTTCCCTTTTAGAAAGCTGAAGGGATCAGAATTAATGCAAATAGTGTATAGACCTATGTTAGATGGACTCTTCTATTTCCCAAAGCACTGGTATCCACCGGATATGGCATGGGTAAGGTTTTGGGATATGTGTATGACACTTGTACGCAAGTTAGATACTTAGATCCTTTAATTTGTTGGAAATATAGGATAAAGTGTGTTTGTTTGTGTAGTAGTGTAGTGGTATTAATTGATTGAAATTAAACCAATGAAATTCCATAATTGCCCTTCTTCCATTATTGTAGTCATATAGACTAAAGGGTAAAATAGTCTTTTACCCATTAATCCCATGGGATTGCATCTCAATCTCATGTATTTCCAAGCTTTGCTAGTCCCCCCATAGTATAGGATTACTATTCCAAGAGGAATACTAATCCCCACAGACATTTCCTAACCAAACAAGGCATGAGTGGGGCCCATCTCACTCATACTCCAATTCCCCCTGCCCAAACCTCCAAACAAACATTATGAAGTTTTGGCACTTAAATACACATCCGATACTTGTACCCGAATCCATGTAACATAGGTGAACACACAAAAATAAACAGCATAAAATATATATTTCAGTATAAAAGAAATGACAACATTATTTTTTCATTGATTTAGCTAAAGAATTAATGATAAAAATGGGGCAAAAGGTTTTGTGAACTAAAACCTTAAGGAACCCGAATGTAATTATGTTATTGCATTTTCTCTGAGCTCATGGAGTCAGTAGAATATACCCTTATATTTTTTCATGCAACAACTTTTGCTTCTCACAATGACTATTTCTCAGCTCCTGAATCATCCAAAGAAGGGATGAGAATTCTCTTTCTCTCCATTAATATTCTTTTTCTCGCCCAACCCTTCAATCTAAACGGCTGTTAAGATTTCATACTGTAAATATTTATTTTCCTCTTTCGCCTACTCTCCAAAATTCCAAACAAAACCTCAAATCATCCAAAATTGCAAAACAAAAATTGAAACCCAAAATTGCCCAAACAAGCATCCAATAGAACTTCAATAATGTCACAGGGTAATCCTTTTGAAAGCATTGTATTTGAAAATTACAAAACAGAGAGATCGAATTCCGTATGAGATGAACAAGATTTCAGAGAAACCGAGAGAGAGAGAGAGAGAGAGAGAGAGCGTACGTTCGCGGCTGACATGGCGGAAGGTCTTGTATTCTCCGATACCGCCATGAGAGGACCCTTCGGAATCAGAAAATGACATGACGATTGACGACGCTCACCAACCTCTGGTTGTCGATGTTGGGAGGATCAGAGAGAGAGAGAGAGAGAGTGAAGAATTCAGAGAAAGTACAGAGAGAGAGAGAGAGAGAGAGAATGAAGGGCGTTAGTGGGAGAGAGAGACAGAGAGTCTAATAAGAAGTTCGTTATGCTTTTGTCGTGGGACGTGTTGCGCGCAACGGTGACTTCCACGGGAATTTCGGTTTGCCCCTACGTGATTCTAATTTACCTTTATACCCCTATTCCACTCCTAACCCCAAAAAAACAAAGTCCAAACATTTTTAAAAAATTAAAATAAATTATAAAAAAGAAAACACAACCAAACAAAAAGACTAGAGTTGTTTGGGATTTGTGTATTGCGTACTTTTTGATTTCTTTTTAAAAGATGTTAAAAAATAAAAATGTAATGTAACTCAAATAAGTGTATTTATTTAAAGGGTCTAGCTTGTCTCAAGTTGAGATCAAGACTGGACCCGTCTAGTTCGGTTCATAGGGCTCATTTTGATAATCTAAACCGTTCAATGTGTAGAACTCGTCGAGTACTACATGTCTTTAAAAAATCACGTTGATCGGATATCAATAGCTATGTGATCAAATCAGTTTTGTATAAAAAAAATAGACGGTGAAACAATTAACGGTTGATAAAAAACTGTTTTGTTCACATAGCTATTGATATCCGATCAACATGATTTTTTACAGGCATATAGTACTAGACGAGTTTTATACATTGAACAATTCGGATTATCAAAACGGGATCCGTGATGGGCTCCTACGGACCCAACAGCACGGTCCAGTCCGATCTTGGACTGGACCAAAGCCACTACCTATTTAAATTATTCTCAAATAATAACAAAATTAGAACCTAACTATTGAGTAATGCATAGCATCTTGCGGGAGAAAAATAACAATAAGCCTATAAACTACAAAAATTGCCTAGAAATTGTTCTAGATTTTCAAATGAATGGTGGGAATTTAGTTTTGTTGTTGTGGGCCCACCTCATGAATAAGCTTAAGCCTTTGATTTTAAATTCTAGTAATTTTTTGAATTTTTTCTTCTAAGTATGTAGACTCACTGGAAAAACAACTCCTTTGAAAAAATATAACCTAATCTAAGAAAGAATGACAGAAATTTTTGTAATACTTTTCTTATAAGAATCTTAGTATTTTGTCCAATGAAAATTTTGAGGTACATTTAGAGTCTCCCTTTTATGAGGCAACAATGCCATAGTTGGTTATCAATTAAATTATAAATTTCAACTTCACGAGAAGTTATTAGAAGAAGTTGCCAATACAAGTTTCGATCAAATGCACTTCTGCACAACTTAAAATTTGTTAAATGTTTGTTTAAAGTGACTCATAAAATACTCAAAATTTAATTAAAAGCACTTCTTATATTTAGAAATTCATTTCAAGATGCCACCAAACACTAATCTCACAAATTTCTTAAATTCATATTTAAACTCCACATAAATCCAACTCAAAATAAAAACAAATGAATGGTATGAATTGAATTGGTTGGTAGCTTCCACATTCTCTAACCCAAACAAACAAGTTTTGACTTTCAACCAATAAATCCAAATCTAAAATTTCCAACTATTGGCCTTAAGGAATGCACTTGGCGAAGGTGGGACAGCTCCAGTATCTTGCAGGCCCTTCAGCGTCCCCCCCCCCCACCCCCCCCCAAAAAAAATAAAGTAAAAATACTAATGATAATGTCATCAAACATTTTCTTTGTTCAAAATCATACAATATGTCACGTGTCAGACATGTTCAAGTCATATTAGTTTTGAACTTGTGCAAATAAAAGATCAAGTATAAAATTAGAGAGTTTAAAATGAAATTTAAAGAATAATTATAAAAATTATTGGTGTAATTTATTCACTGTCTTAGTGATCTCTTGTTTCTTTTTTTCTTTTTCTTTTTCTTTTTTTAAATTTTATTTTAGTTCCTTTAATTTTGTACGTGTACGGGGAGGAATTATGGCGCCGTCTGTGGGAAGAACAGACAAGAACAAAAACCTCTTGACTAAGCTTCTCCTTTTCTCAAATCAATGGCACACATTGAAGAACTACCGCAGTCCACCGTCGACGGGCTAACCCCAGACGGGGGCGCAAGGCGAGAAGGATTACCCTCTGTCCCTCCTATGGCAGATCTGGAGCCCCAACAACATAACTCCAGGAGGAGTGGCAGGGGAAGGCGGAATAGCAGCCCTCGTCACTCTCAAAGTCCTGACAGGCAAAGGAGGAGGATTGATCCTCAAGCCCTGGAAGATCGCGTGAAGGAGCAAGATGAACTAATTCGGAAGATGGCGGCGGACATGGAGGCATTAAAACGCCAGATGAAGACTAAAGATGTGGCGACAGGAGAGGAGCGCAAGCACAAGACGCCCCCTCGCCACTCAGAGAATCGTGGTAGGAATACTACACCCTCCCAAGAAGGGAGCAGAAGCCTCAGGACAGGCGACACTCATTCCTTATCTTCCAGGACTCGTCACTCCAGGTCTGAGAGGACGAGATCCGAAAGATCATACACTGAAGGAAGCACGTATTGGCCTTCACATTCACACCAAACCAGATCTAGACAAACAGAGCTGCCCAGGTCATCCGACTTACGAACCGTACTCGAAGAAAAAGCACGATGCAAGGAGGATGCCAGGACAAGGGATCCACACCGAGTTTCGGCCTTACAACGGTTGGCTCCTCGGACGCATGGAAGCGTCGAGGTTGGAATGCCAATACCGCGACCGGCCTACGAACCAACGGACAAGGCATTGGCAAGACTACAGACTTCGCCATTTGTTCCAGCGATCGAAAACGCACCCCTACCATCAGGCACTGTTACAGTGACAAATTGTCCTATTATTGGTAAATAATGATTTGTTTCTTTACATTAATTTCGAAAAGAATAAAGTTTCGGATCCTCAATGAGGGTGTTGGGATCCCTTTCTATTAGTCCAAAAAATAGTTTTTTTTTTTTTTATTTTCAGCCAACCCTAGGTCGACACGTGACACTGGGAGGTCACTGAAGTCTGTAGCATTGTTGCTTTGAAAACTGTAATATTAGAGACAAATTTATCATTTTAATTTTAAATATCATTTTAACATATTTTTCAATACAACAACTTAAATAAAAATTCATTTCATCTTTCCAAACACAAAAATTAAAATAGCCTACTAACATAGTAAAAAAGTCAAAAAACCTCTAAAATAATCACTTCTCAAACATCTACTACATAAGGTTTATGTGGACCTCATAACTATATAAGATATTTAGTAAAATATTTAAAATTTCTAACATTTTGGGAAAATTGGGCGAGCTTCGAGTTGGGA